CGAGCTCTGCACGGCCGCGCTGGGCGGATCGCCGCTTGCCGAGGCCGCTGAGCCGCCCGCTGAGCCTGCTGGGCCCGCCGACGCCTCTCGGGTGGAGGCTGAGCAAGGCGCGGCGAGAGGGGGCGCGGAGTGCGGCGCCGGAGAGCCTTGCGGCATGCAGCTCTGCGCGTCCGACGCGTCGCGCACCGGCGCGCTCCTCGAGATCTTCGACCACGTCCGGCGCTCTGCCCCGCTCCAGCCGGCGTGCGGCACTGGCCCGCTCGCCGCGGCCCGCCACTGCTCCTACTTTGCGACGCTCAGCGCGGTGGCTCGCGCCGTCTTCCGTGCGGACCTCGCCGCCGCCGACTCGGCCGCCGACCCAGCCGCCCCGCCCCCCTCTGAGCCGAGCGCCGGCGCGGAGGGCAGACTGGGTGGGGGGCCGCTCGCGCCGGTGGTTGCGACGCGGCTGATTGCGATGGTCAACGCCGCGTTGGCTCTCGCCACGCGTGTGTGCAGCTCGCTGCGACGCGGCGGAGTCGGCGGCGGCTGCGGTCACGGCGGCAGCGGCGCTGCGGCTCTCGATTCGTGGCGAGGCGCGAGCGGTTGGCTCTCGGCGTGGCGGGAGCTCGCGACGCTCCTCGAGGCCTACTGCGGCTGGCTCCGTGCCCGCAGGTCGGGCTGGCCGTCGGCGAGCCGCAGGCGGGTGCCGTCGGCTCTCTACGCTGCGGAGCGGCTGCAGCTGCAGCTCTGCGACGTCTTGGCGCCGCACGCCGCGAGCTGGCGCGAGTGCGGAGAGCTCCTCGAGCAGGTCGAGCGGGCGTGGAGGGCGGGGCAGCAGGCGGACGGCGCGACGCTCGCGGTTGCCGCTAGCGCCGGCGACGACGAGGACGCCAACTACGAGGCCGACGATGTGCCTGCGCCAGAGGGGGGCAAATCCGGCCGGCGGATGCGGAGTCGCAACACCTTCATCGACTCGGAGCTCGCGCAGGGCTACGGCGGCGGCGACTCGTTCGCTGACTTGGAGGACTTCATCGTGGTCAAGAAGGGGCGGCGCTATTAGCACGGTGGCTCACAGCGGTGTCTTGGCCGAAAAAAGAGGGCGACAGGCTCACAGCTCCGTGACACATGATCCAGGGACTCTCTGTTCAGTTAAACCCGTAAAAAATCTTTGTGTGTTGCACTGTATATGTGTGCGGGCTGTGTGGGCTGGCCCCCGGTCCCGGTCCCCCGGTGCTGCGCGGGTGACCATGCTCCATGGTCCATGCTAGACCGCAGCCACCGCGTCGAGCCTGCGATACCTTGACTGGAGCCACGAGCGCGCGGCATCTCCAAGGTGCAGCCCAAAGATCCAGTCGCCCTCTCCTCGCCCAAAATTGCGCCGCTGGTCTCCGAAAAATGTCATCCGCCCCTCCGTGCTCGAAGCGCTAGAGTGTCGACGGCCCTCCTCCGCCTCCGCCTGAGAGCCTCCGTAAGCAGGGGTTGGCAGTTGCTACTGATGTCGAAAGGACAGGAGCGGCGACGCCTGCGAATCGTCCGATCCGCTCGCTA